GAAGTGGAAAGGGGATGGTGGTGGTGGTGCATGCCTTCAATCCCAGAGCTTGGGAGGCAGAGGCAGGTGGATCTCTGTGAGTTCAAAGCCAGCCTGTTCTACAGAGTAAGTTCCGGGTAACCAAGGCTGCATAGAGAAACCCTGTCTTAAAAATAAACAAAGATGGAAAGACTGTAGATAATGGATATGTAGTTATACATAAGAATGTTGTCCTTATTGTATTTTTATATTTGTAGGTAGCATTTTAATATCTTAAAATATTACATTTATTTTGAAAGAAGCTGAAACAGAGAGAGAGAGAAGCATGGAAACCATAAGAATGAGTTAAATAAAATGACAAGGAGTGCAGAGAAACACCCTGAAGTTTGCCATTGCAAGGCACTATGAATATGTTTGTCATGGTGGTACACATCTGTCGTTGAAATGTTGTTGAGATGTCGTTGAGAGGCAGATAAAGGATTAAGAGTTTTCAAAGTAATCCTTAGCTATATAGTATTATCGAGGCCAGCCTGAGCTATAAAGACAACGTCTCAGAAAAAGAAATAAACAAAAACTACTATTGATACGGATGAGCTCTAGCACCAAAGATCAAAACCAAGGGAAATGGAGTGATTAGATTGCACAGGGTACAGCAAGGGGAAAGAACTACAGATGGAGTGGATATTTAAATGGCAAACTGTATGAAATAACTGTCTGCTTGAACGTGGCTGAACAAAAATTTCATAAAAAAATATACAGTGTAAATAAAAGTCAAGGAAAGTATTTCACAAGCGCCTCATAGTCAATGGACATTGAACCAGTCTTCCCTCATAGAAGACACCAAAGTCATAATATTTTACAAACAAAACCAAACAAATATTTAAAGAGAGAAACAATCACACTCTTACATCAATTTTTTGGAAAGCAGAACAAAAGTGTTAAATTCATTGTTAGATTAACATAATGCCAGCGACAAAATAATCAATAACAGTGTGAAAAAGTAACGCCTTGATAAAGCTTACAGAAACCAAAATGTGGAAGAATGTCAAAACTTTGTAAATTCAGATCAAAAGAACACACACTCATAACATCTAACAACCGAATTGGGTTTATTTTGAAGTGTAAAGTTAGGTCCATATTGGTAGAGATGGATAAACAAAATCATTAAACTCAACTATCACAAAGCAAAACTCACGTCTGCTTCAGGAAAGTCTCTTCTGTATGTTAATTCAAGGGGATCCCTGGCACTTAGTTAACAAGAGTCTGTGCCGGTGTCTATGAGGCTATGTCAAGGGCCAAGAAGCATTGATCCCTAGACTCCATGAGGAATAAGAATGCTTGAAAAGAAAACAGTCACTCAGAGAAAATTGCAACCGTGACCCCCTTGAGACATTTATGAAAGTTCAAACTAAGTGATCAGCCAAAGACTGAGGAAGAAGAGATTTGCACACCTGGAGAGGAATTTTGCCCATAAAAAACAGGAATTTTGAGCAGGATCTGGGGAAAGACATTCTCCTCTCCTGCTTGCCTAATCCGTACTTATATGAGTTCATAACTTTGGTGACAAACTAAAAGAGTAAGATGCGAACATAGTTCTGGGTGAAACGCAAAAGCAACCACCACCACCACCTTGTATTTATTTGAGATACATTATTACTCAACATCTAATTCACCATCATCGTCTCATCTTAAAACTTCCCAAACAATGTACCTTCAACTACTAACAAGAATTTGGGGCCAAAAAAATTTAGGTACATCCTTTCCTGCCTATCATCACAAGTATTTGACTCTGCTCCTTAAGCTGCTTTCCAGAGATTCTAGTTACATGCCATAAGAAACATAGCATCTGCAGCAGAGTGAGTTATTAGCTTATTAAATAATGCTGTGGCTAAAGAGGAGGTTCCTAGAATTGACCTCTTATTCCTTAGTAATTACTTATCCTTCCTTCCTCCTCATCTTCTACTGGAATTATGTATCAACAAGGTAAAGATATTATAGAAATTTATGCATGACGTAAATTCTCCCAAGAGCCTGTAACACCTTATTGATAAGAAAGGATAGACTTGATGATGACGGGAAGGGCAAGTCTTACTGGTAAAGAGCCTACGGAAATCATTGTCCACTGAGCAGAATGTAGGGTGATTAATTGTTCCACACTGATAAGAACTGGCAGGTAGCATTAACTGTTGCCGTAGATAAACATCATTTCAAAGATCTTTTAAGACTTTTTGAGGATGTTGTCTGGGCTAACACCTGAGGCCATGTTGATGTCAGGGGTCCGTGCAGCTGCTGGGATCAGAGTGATTGAAATCAGTGGCCCCGGCTGCCTCCTGAGGCCGTGGTGATGTCAGGGCCTGAGCTGCAGTCAAGGTCCGTGTCTGGGTCCATGGCCCTATCACAGCTGGGATCTGTGTTGAAGTTCGTGGGCCGTGTTACTACCAAAGGCCGTGCTGATGCCCAGGGTCTGTGGCCACCACCTAAGGCCACATTGGTATCCAAGGGCCATGCTGTCTCTGGGACCATACAGATACAAATGTGTCTGAGCTGCTACTCAGGGCCATGGTCATGTCTGGGCCTGAGCTGCGATCGAGGGCCCTGTCTGGGTCCGTGGTCCTACTGCAGCCCTGGTCTGTGTTGATGTCTGTCGGTCATTTTACCGCCAGGGACCTTCGGAGAGCTGGCTCCAGTAGCCAGGGCACCAGTTCTGCCCCTTACTGGACGCCTCAGTGGAAGAGCTGCCTTCTCAAGTCCCCCACCCCTGGGAGCACTAGCCCCAATGGTGCATGCATGGAAGATTTGGTCTTAACCTTTGGCAGCCCTCAGAGAACTGCTCCTCAACTCAGGCCGCTGCAACAGGAGAGCTGGTCCTGACCCTCACCTGAAAGGAGTCGTCCCAGTGGAGGTCTGGACTGATCAACTCAGCTACCAGCCAAGGTCTTTGAGTTGGCCCACCCGGACAGCTACAGCTTCTATGAGCTGCTGGAAAGTGTGAAGGGACTGGTTCTATAGAATCGTAGTCGCAGGATCTCCATGACTCAGGGCAACAGCAGGTTATCCAAGAGATGTTTCGGTGAGGGTCCAGTCTTGATGGTGTACCAGAAGCCAAAGGCATTGAACCAGATCAACAACTCACCGCAACAAACACTTGCAAGAAAAGCTGGTTGGTATACTGTGTGGCACACTGCAGCTCCCAAGACCACTTGACAAAGGAATAGGTAATTGAGAGGTGGGGAGAGATGGAGGAGTGAAATGTTTTCATGGCTATTATTATTCTTTATTTATTATTATTTTCTTTTGTGAGGACACCCTACAAGGGAAGAGGGCAGACATGGAAGGCCTGGGAAATGAGTGAGACTGGGGTGCATGATGTGAAATTACCAAAGAATTAACTTAAAAAATTGTGAAAAGAAAAAAAAAATCTTTTAATGATACCCCATCATATTTAGATACCTAAAATTACATCCAAAAAATCCTATAGAAATTATTGCTAATGCTTCTACAGCTCGATCTTCATAAAGATAAAGAACTTGTGTTTTTATACACGACTTCTACACCTTCCACAAGAGTCGGCTGTGCCAAGCCCTGGTTGTACAGCGCAACAGTTTGAACTCACCGTCATCAATGAGTTGTTACTAGGTGTTTCTCAGTCACGGAATGATGTGGGATTCCGCTTTGTATGCCATGCATATGTTTTACTACCATCGGTTATTAAAGAAGCTGTTTCCGCCAATGGTTTAGTAGAGTAAAGCCAGGCGGGAAATGTGAACAGAGATAGAGAGAGAAAGTCGGCGGAGTCAAAGAGCTGCCATATAGCTGCCCAGGGAGAAAGTCGTCAGCTGCCAGCCAGAGCCTTACCAGTAGGCCACAGCATTGTGGTGGTTCACAGATTAATAGAAATGGGTTAATTTAAGATGTAAGAATTAGCTAGAAAAATATGCATAAGCTATTGGTCAAACAGTGTTGTAATTAATATAGTTTCTGTGTGATTGATTATTCACGTCCAGGTGGCCGGGAAATGACCAAGCAGTCTCTGTCTGCCAACTGAATATTTTAACTGACTCTGAAAATTGTTCTAAAACTGTTTCTCTTTTAGAAACTTCAAACTTAAGCCCAACCCCACTACCAATGTTATTTCACTACTGTATCTCTCCCTGCAGATGTCTATGAGACAAGAGTTTCAACATTTTTTCATAACTCTTTTTGTGCTCATTCTAAGCTACCAGGTCCTTTAGCCTCCTCACCTCTAATGCTTTATTTTCAGTATATTCAAAAGTCTCATGAACTTTATCAAAATGCAAAATCCTTACAGGAACAACCATTTTTCCTCGAGCAAGCGGGATAGACCAGCTTGTTCTTTCACACGACTGCCCTCTGCTGGCAGAATTAATACTGGCACGCTAACACCAATCACGTTAGACAAACATTTAAAATACGTTCCTGTAACACTTGCTACTTTTCTAATACGGTTGTTGTTTCCACTCACCGGGGTGGAATAACCTAGGATGCCATTGTCATTTATTATACAACTTTTTCTTTCTAGGACTCCCACCATAACTAAAAACTGATGTTGGTGCTGCTTATACTAGAAAACGCTTTAAGAATTGTTGCAATTTATGGACTGTTAATCATGTTACTGGAATCCCTTACAATCCACAAGGATAACTGTGTTGAAAAACACCATCAAATGCTTAAACAGTAAATTTTAAAAATAGAAAGAGGGTATATAAAAACACTGAAATCTTCACGTACATTTAACCATACATTTAACATACATTTAATCCCCACATACATTTAATCATACATTTAACATACATCTAACCCCCCCTCCCCGCATTTAGCCTTCCTTGCTTTAGTCTTTTTCACTTTAAAAGACAATACTTCTGCTGATAACCCAAAGAATTTTTGTCCTAAAGGAGACACATCCTAAAGTATATGTTAAATGAAAGTATCTAGAAACTAACCAATAGAAAGGATCGGTGTTCTTTTAAGATCAGGTTGGGGTTACTGTTTTGACTTCCCCCCAAATGAATGAAGTTCCAGATGGCTTCTGTTCTGCTGCTCCTGAACAGGACAACATTCTAGGGACCACTGGACAAAGGAAGCATCTGAAGGTAGATGACAAACTCGTTGAGGGAGATGACCCAAGAGAAGAGGAAGTCGGTGACCTGGGGAGACATCAAGATTTTAACTTATCAAGTCAAGACCTTGGGGAGACAGCAAGGACACAATGCTACTGACAGGAAAATGGTGCTCTTATGCTTACCGATCATATTATACGTTAATTCTTTGCTTGTCGGTGCAGAACCCAAATGCCTTTTATGGGGACAATAAAAGGCACTCCTGTAATAGGAGACAGTACATTGTTGTTTTGCCATGCTAAGGATTGCTTTTTTTTCCCCTTCAGGACCAATTGTCTGGAAAAAGATATTATAGAAATATTGAGTCACATGAATGGAGGCTATTTTGGTTGAACTAATCTAATTAATCAGTCCAAATGCAATAATGTAGATTTAGGCACAAATAGGCACTCTTCAGAAAGCTCTGATAATGGAAATTATAGTTGTATGAAGATGAACAAAGGAGTCTCTGATGTACTGATGCCATTGTACCCAGAATAACTCTATCTGTTACTAATGGTTTAGAAAAATAACCTCTGGCTTCGCTTGGCACATGGCAGTCAACAAGCGCAATCTTGTTGCATCAGAGGATGGACTCTTAAATGTTTTTTTGTATGGCTTAGGAATTACTCATATGTATTAGAGTCCACCTGCACCCATATCCATAGGGGCTTCCCCTGATATTTCTGTCAATGGTGTTTTTTTTTAAATAACATCATTTATGCTTTAAATGTGCTTGTGTTCCTCTTTATTCTTATTCCACCTCCAACCATACCATTTCCTCTGGTAACAACCGCCTTTGGGGAAATGCTACATATACTGCCCTTCCTGTGGGTTATAAAGGCTTATGTGGGATACAGACAGTGTTATATCCGTTATGTTTGATAAATCTTTGCAACTGGTCAATGGAATTGAGAGTTCTTCCCAAAGTTGTGATGCATCTACTGGATCCTGTAATGATTGTATCCATGACAGCTTTTTTTTTCCAGTCCCAGGAATGATTTCTAGAATATAGAGAGGTCTCAAAAATAGCCTATATGTGACAGGGAGCCTTCATGGGACTGACCTAGGCCCTCTGCATATATATTACAGTTGTATAACAGGGTCTTCCTATGGGACTCCTCGCAGTGAGAGCAGGGGGTCTCTAACTCTGCTGCCTGATTTTAGAACCCATTCCCCCTGTTGGATTGCCTCATCCCATCTTGGTGGAAGAAGGGGTTCCTGGTCTCACTGCACTTGATATACCATGGCTGGCTGATATCCATGGGATGCCTGACTGTATCTGAAGAGAAACAGTGGAGAAGTGGATGTGGGGGAGGGGAGGGAGACCTGGGAAGAGAGGAGGGAGGGGAAACTTTGGTTAGGATGTAAAAACAAGAAAATAAAAAAAATGGCGAACTGGAGAGATGGCTCAGCTGTTAAGAGCAGTGGCTTCTCTTCCATAGTTCCCAAGTTCAATTCCCAGCAACCACATGGTGGCTCACAACCACCTGTAATGAGATCTGGTGCCCTCTTCTGGCCTGCAGGAGTACATGCAGCCAGACCATTATATTCATAACAAATAAATAATAATAAATATTTATAAAAATTGGCATGCATGTTTAGTAAAATCATTAATATTATAGTGAAAATATTAGCAGAAATTAGCTAGAAGATGGGCAAATTGAGAGCCATGGTTTTACAAAATAAAGTTACTATAGATTATTTGTGGGTCAAACATAATTTTGATTGTCAACAATTTCCTGTCATGTGTTACTTTCATGTATCAGATTTCCCTCATACTACCAAAGGTCAAATTCGTGATTTGCGTAGAGATAAACAAAATCTTTCAAGTGACCTTTGAGTAGCCGTCAAGGTTAAGATGGCTTTTCCCTTTTCTGGGTCCTCTGTTAGTGTTGGCTAGTCTTAGAATTCTGTTATGCTTGACTATATTACTTATACTAGCCATCCAGGCGATGCACTCAATCTTAGTCTCCGTCACAATTGTCCTTCTTCCTTTAAAAAAAAAAAGTGTGTGTGGGGGAGATTGAGGAGGCAAAAACGTCCTTGGGCTCACAGATGAGCACTGGGGAAACCTGGAGTATTAAACACACAGGGTTGTTCCCTCAAAAGAAGGAATACATAACCAGTTAGCTGCCCAGGAGGCTGTGAGCAGACATGGGTAATAGCCTGATGACCTTTGCACTGTATGCGTGACTGAGACCCACCCCACCCTCACGGCTGTCTTTCCCCAGACCGATATTGTAAGCTTGTTTTTCTCTGGCAATCTATAGAACCCATCTTTATTGCAGGTTTATGTATACTTTTTAAGGGGTTTCAATGTAGTAACATATAATCTTTATTTAGCTTATTTTGTGCCTCATTATGCACATGGGATTGAGTTAATTATTGTCAGAAAAGTTTTCACTAAAATTGTGCTGTGCTTAAATATGCCTAAAATAAATTACTTAGGGTAACTCTCTCAAAGTTTGAACCAACATGGGCTACTTAGTTGTATTGAACCAAACTACCTTCTTGCCTCCTGTGGACCGTTACTCTGACGGCCGCGGTGGCCCCATCACAGATCCCATGATCAAGACTGAGAAGGAAGAGGTATGCACACGGGACGAGGTCAGATTCACCCACCAGGCAGGAATTTTGAGCAGGATCTTTGGAAAGAGTGCTGATGGACAGAAAAGAGGCAGCTAGGATATCCCGTGCAGGGGTAGTGAGTGGAAAAGACAGCGCTGCTTCCCTCCTCAGTGGAGAGATTAGGAGGCAAGAACGCAAAGAGCGGAGATTGGAAAAGCAAGGATGAGGGTTGAAGGTGCAGACAGAGCTGAAACAAATGGCTGGAGAGACTTGAAGAGGATGGACAGACCTTCTCTGACAAACTCGAGAGGAGTGGGTTCTCCCACCTCCAGCCAGCCTCTCTTCTATTTCCATTCAGTTCCACGTGGAGCTCAGCTTCACCACGGAGATGTTGACACCCCACTGTTTCTAAGCTGTGTATGCACGGCTGTTGTCAGTCTGCTTGTGGCAACGTTCCCAGGTTACTTCCTTGCCGGTGTTTCCCTGTGGAGGGATATGGTGGGTTAAGTAGGAGCTGGGCACAAAAGCATTTTCTAACTCTTAATGGAGATTGGAGTCCAGTCTCTGGGTCTTTCGACGGGACCAGGAAGAGAGCCTGGGATAATTGTGCTGCTCCCTGGATGTTCAGCTTGACCCACCCAGCAATCCTGGGTGGCCAGTTTGGGCTCCACTCTCAGCCTCTGCAGATGCAGCCTGTTCTGATAAAGTTCTCAGGTACCTTTGGCCTCTTTCTAAGACCCTGGAGAGACATTTTCTATGGGAATTTAACTTGTGATTTTCCTCACAGGGACAGGATATGACGGAGACTTCCTCGTTTTGTTCTGTCTATTCTGGTTTTTATAACAAAGGGCAGAGCCAAGGGCTTATGTCCTAAGGTGGAAGGTGGGTGAGTATTTCTGTCATTCATAAACTGCACCCCACTTCCTGAGCTCAGCTGCCAGTCCACGTCAAAAGAATCTTAAGCATCAGGGACCAACACTTCACGGTCATCCCTTTTACAGGGAGGCGAGATTACCAGCATCCATCTGCCACTTGGACCTTTCGCTGTTTCCTGAAAGGTAAGTGGCTCCTTTGCAACACCTGTATGAACCTTCTAGAATCAGAAAGCAGAGAACAGAGAGAGGCCCTGGGGGAGGCATATCATAGAGAGAAGCTTTTAATGCCTGATCCTGGTTTTGTGAGGTGTTTGGGTATCTTAGGAGAGATGCCCACTCAGACTGGCCCCTCTGAGGAGGCAAGACTCAGATGCATTCTTTCCCCGCTGCAGATGAAAAGGGTTCATTCTTTCGGGACTCCCCTCTAAAAGCAACTCAGGCCCTAGAGACTAAGAGGGTGGAAATTCTCTTACGGGCCAACTAAAATCACACCAGTGTAGGCTAACGAGCAGTAGCAGGCACTGGAGTGGGAAAGGGGAGGGAAGTGCAAAGGCTCATTGCCCACTGGAGTCTATGTGGGTAGCAGCAAGATGAGACACACCAAGTGCTGTTTGCAAAAGCAGCAGAGCCAAACAGAAGAGGCGAGAGATGGGCTTTGATACTTCAGTGTGCATGAGGAGTCCTTTATCCTTCATGTCTTCAGAAAGGGACATCCCAGGGGCTCCCAGCAGAGCAGTGAGACTATGGTCCCCACCAGCGCAGCTTAGCTAGGTCCGAGGCCCCTTCACCAAGGTCTCCATCTTCACCCCAAATTCAATATGTCTAGCCTCTTCCTTTCTCCAGCCAAATGTCTCCACCAGAGTCAGAGTCTGCAGCCTGTTTCAACCTTGGTGCAAGTGGCTGGAACTAAAAAGTGTTTCCTTTTAGGGAACAGCTGCACTCCTGGAAGGGTGGGCACCTTTAGCTGAAGAGCAGGTGGGAAGGGACATCAAGGCAACTGTGGGGAGAGGTGTGGTGTTCTGCCACAAAGTCACTTTAGGAAAATCTCTTCTATTCCCTTCAGGAAGTCGCCAGACCACTGGCTTCCAACGAAAGAAAGGTTATCCAGCAGACTCCCCTGAATCCTGAACAAGGACTAAGTACCCATGACTCCCATCTGAGAAGATGCTAGTGACAAAGTCTTAGGGACACTTTGATTTAAGTTTCTTTAATAAGCAGTACAATTTGAATTCACTAGTTGATTGGTTTTGAAGCTGGATACCCTGTGGTCTAGTCTCTTCTTCAGCGCAACTGGGCAAAGCACTGTTTGCGCTGGGCGGCCCCTAACAGCGTTATGGTTTCAGGTTATTAATGCGCATGAAAGCTGAAGCCAGTCCTGACACAACACAGCTGGTGGGAAGCTGAATCAGAGAAAACAGGCACTGTACACACAGCTGGGCTGGAAACTTCACTCTACCACCCAATAGCTGTGTGCAAAGGGGCCCCCACGTAATTTGAGCTTATTGGTCAAAGTAGTCATACCGATGGTGTGGGTGAGTGTTTGATGAATGAGTGCTCCATTTATGTTAGTTTTATTGCTGCGGGCATATGGATGAGTTGCGTGTGCATGGGGATAGGCTGTGTGTACATGTGCTCCCTGTATTTTCAGCCTCTTTTCCTGTGGCTTTGGCAGTGGAACACGTGTGTGTATATCACAACAGAGAAATGGCAACCGAGAACGGGGAATTCTCTAGCGGTTCTGAAACGCACTTCCCCCCTTGCTTACCCCTTGGGAAAGAACAGACTGTCTTTCTAGACTAACCAGAGCAAGGGCTCACTAGGCTCCCGTCTGATGCCGACAACCTCTCTTGAGTGGACCCATGACACCACTTGACACAGCTGACTGATTCCTCACATTGGAGCTCACCCAATTGGACCCGTAAATAACAGCCTTGGTTTCATTACTTTGTGAGCTGCTATCTGGGTGGTGGTGCATCCCATGTGGCTTTGCTCTTTTGGAGCTCTAAGCTCTGTCCAGTCCATAGGGCTGAGGCACAAAAGGGAAGGGAAGGAAACAAGATGAGGGACCAACATGAAGCCAGTGTGGCTTCGGATTCTTTGCTGCCACAGATAGACATATACACACTTCTGTTATCAGCCACAGACAAGAGGCTGTCCTCCAGAGCTTTGTTCTCTGCCCGGGACCTCTGGTCTTGTTAGTTGTTGCACAGCTATTGACCTTACTAAGTTCTGACCATCAAAACAGACAAGTTGGCTTCAGAGGGCTATCTGCTTTCCTCCCTCAAAGGGAAACACAAAGGGAGTGACCCCAACTTGTTCCTCTGTCTTCCCTCCACACCTGAGTCTGAGCTCCAAAGCCCCAGGACCTGGCACATTCACTTCTCAGGTCATTGCCCTCCCCACCCCACTATTGTGTTCCTACCTGTCTGGGTCCTTCTAGCCCAGGGGTCACTCTTAGAAGCCCTCATCAATTCCTTCTTCTCTGACTGCTTTCCTACTGTTGAATTCGTCTTTTGCCAATGGTTTTGCAGACGGTGTGGCTGGCTCTCAGCAGGAGGAAATGCTATGCAAGCGGCCATTGCAAACAGGGTGACAAAAGACAGAGTAGAAAAGTGAGTTGGGATAAAGAGTACAAATCCACTGACTTTTCCTTCCCCAGGGGAACTGTTGTGATTGGATAAGCAGCTTCTAGAAGAAAGTGGACAGAGAGGGAGAAGGTGGCAACTTCTATCTATAGAGTGTTTCTTTATCTCTATGTTTGAGACAGGGTCTGACTACGTAGCCTGGGCTCTCTTTACATTCATGATCCTTTGTCTCACCCCTTTGCATGCTGGGATACAGGTGTGCACCACCACATGCAATTTAAACAACATCTTGCCAACCCACAGAAGCCTTAAGCTTTTCCCTTGACATTGGGTCCTTCCATGGCTGAAGCACAAACATTGGGGTTCATTCAGCTACAAAACCTGCCTTAAATCCTACAACTAAATGAAGCCCTTGACGTTGGGTCCTTCCATGGCTGAAGCACAAACATTGGGGTTCATTCAGCTACAAAACCTGCCTTAAATCCTACAACTAAATGAAGAAGCTATGTGGAGAGACTTGATGCGTTCCGAGATGGGTAACCACATGAGATTGGTTGGCTTCTAGGTTTAGATGCTAACACAGAGCGCAAGGGGGACTTAGAACTAGAGGAGATAGCTCTGTGTGGGATGAGTCTTAGTTTTCTGGACTACAGGAGGGAGAAGGGCTTGCCAGAGGTCTGCCTCTATCAGCTGGACCTAAGCATGCTATAAACACGAGAACAGCAACTGGTTAACTCCCTGAAAGCATTACCTAAGGGATCAGAATAGATGAAATTGTCCCAGAATGTCCAAAAAGTTGGCAGGCAGCCACCGGATATATACTCTGTTCTGGGAAAAAAAAAAAACAAACCGAAAACACAATTCTCTGTTCCTCTGTTCTACGAACCTGATGTTCCAGGGCAAAGAAAATTGTACACAGGGTCGGTGGTGGGGAGGAAGGGAGATAAAACTGCATTTGGGATTCTTCTGAGATTTCCCATTCCCTGGGGGAGTGTCCCTAACCCAGAGGAGGGTGACACTGAGTACCCACACAATGTATGGCTCCATTCCTGACTCTAAACAATACCCGGCTTCCTCTGGGATCCTTCAGTCCTGTCCGTTCACAGTTCCATGAATTCCACCAAGCCCAATGGTAACAACATCACCTGGTAAAATTAGAAGCAGTTCTCACGTCCCGTCATGGTTTTAAAGAAGCCACGGGCCTAATGTGAAAACTCCAAAATCAGAAAACAACAAATAACAGAGACAGCAGCTGATCTCAGGCCTGCTGGGCGGAGGCTCACTGCCCATGCCATCTAGCATGTTCATTGCTTTCTAGGTGGCCCACACTGCTGACAGATGGCAGATTTTTCAGTGTTCGTGGGGTTTCTGAAGCAAGTGCCTTGGTGCAGCAGCATCTTCTTCACCCATTTTCTCCTCATCCTCTGCTTGGGAGAGGTAGATTCAGGTAATGTATTTGATCTGCAGCAATATTCAATTCACCCAGGTAGGATATGAGAACCCAAATTCGGCCCCTATCTTTGCTAGGTGCCTCTTGGAACGGGCCCTCATAATGCAGCAGCAGACCATACTAATTGCTAAAATGCAAAGTATTCCCATGCAAGGTTTTGGAGTTTTTGTTTGTTGTTTGTTTGGTTTATTTTTTCATTTGTTTTTGTTTTTGTTGTTTTGTTTTGCTTTTGAGACAGCCCAGCGTGGCTTGGAATTCACCATCTCCTTACTTCGGCCTCCCCGGTGCAGGGATTGCAGTTATATTTCACCATTTTCTACTTCCATACCAGCTGTTAAAGGGCTATAGCACTTGCTCTTCCAGTGGTTCACCAACCCCTGTTTCCCATATTCACTTCCCAGGAGCAAAGATAAGAGCAATTCTCTTTCCCTGGAAAGCTTTGCAAAGAACACATTCCTTGGGAAGGAAATAGGTGGAGGATGAACTGGGATGGGTGAAGAGAGAAAGAAGGGGGGACGGCAGAGAGACCTCAGGTGTGTGAGAAAGCGGGCTGAAGAGACCCTGGAGAGTGAACGTGTAGGAGGGTGATTGGGATTGACTAGCAGTCATCCAGGAGGCAAAAGGTTTTGTCCAAATTGACATATGATCTATGGGGCAAAGCGAAGGATGGGGAGGGAGATCTTGGATGTTTGAGCTTGGGGAAGAAGTTGTAGCTGAGTTTGGAAAGGAGGAAATGGACCAACTTAAGGACAGCAGGGAGACCACTTGGTAACTCCATGGAAGAAGAGAAAAGTTCAAGGGAAAGGTGGTGACAAGT